TAGAACCCATAAATAGGGATTCCCAGACCATTGCATTTTATTGCCTTAAACCTCAGTGTGCACCAGAGTCCGTAAGGGAGTCCGTTAGCAATGAGGCTGTCCTGGCTCTCCCTGGAGACTCTACTGCAGGAGCTGGCCTGGCTTCCTTTGTTTGTCATACAAAGAAAGTAATGCCTGCCCACAGAGCTGTGGGAACTGGGTGCCAGGGCATAGCTGAGCACCTGGTACAGGCCCAGCCACATGGCAGGAGCTCAGTAAGTGACAGGACGGCTGGTGGAAACCTGCTGTGAAAGCTTCTTGGTCGCAGTCGCGGTGCTGCCCACAGAGCTCCTCCTCGGGAGGGGTCTAGTCCTGAAGGACCAAGTGAGGTGGCCTGTCCCATAATTGTGATTGTGGCAGTCCCATAACAGGAGTGGCGGAAGGACCTGGCGCTGAGTGTGCTCTTCCTGTTTCCCTGAATCATTCCTTCTCTCTGTTCCCTGCACGATGATCTCACACGCTGGGAAGAACGGCTGAAGACACGTCTGGATTCCAACTTCTTGGTGACGTTGAGCTTCAGCGGAGCCAGAGCAGCCGCACTGCAGTTAGCTGGCAGGGCAGTGGCTCTCATTTTCACTCTGAAGAGTGAACCAGGCGTCCCAGGGGTTAAGAAGGTGGGCATGGGAGAGAGAGATGTGCATCTAGTCCCATCTGGTAAAGATGTATGTTCCTGGGCAAGCTGTAGTTTCCTCATCTGCAAACTGAGAGTCATCATGGTATGTGTCTCACGGAATCCTTTTGTGGGGATGAATTTGTCATTGGGGAGCTGGGGGGAGCTTCCCCACAGGCTGCTCAGCGCTGTCTCCTTTGTGAAGTGTTCTAGAATCCCCCAGCTGGGTGCTTGCTCTTCCCTCTTGTAGACACTGGCAGGGTCCGTCTCTTAGCGCACTTACCCCATTCTGCCCTGCATTATGGTTATTCAAATCCTTCATTTAGCTCACTGGCCTTAAGAAGCGCCAAACACACAGACAGCTCCTGGCCGGCTCATGCCAGGTGGGTTTTGGGGTCTGTGTCAGGCCCTCCCGAACCTGGGCCCACTTTACCTCTGCATCCTGCCCTGCCCTGGGCCCCTCTTGCACATTTCAGCTGTGTGTGTGCATATGCAGTTCCTCTACCTGGAATGCCGCCCCCCACAACAGCCCCCCACCACCCAGATCTGCCTCCTTACGGACCAATTAGCATGACTGAAGAATTTTCAGAATGTGAAAGTGCTTTGAAAATTGCGGAATAACTGTGGCAGCTGCCCACTGCAGTCTCTGTTGAGTGAATGGATGGTGATTTGAAAGAAATAGAAACCTTTCAATATGTCGATTTTAACAAGAATAGAGTCCTCATTGCTTGGGATTTGTGACTTGGCGGCCAGCTGTTTTTCCCTCCTGATTTCTAATACACACCCTGTTGCTTGTTCCTAAGGCCCACAAAAAAGCAGTAGGAGTAAAGTGATTAGAGGAACTTCAGCTGTTTTGCTCTCTCTGAATGGCCCTCTTTCATCAGGATATGCAGGGACAAGGGCCTTTTTAAACCCAAATATCAGGGGAAGACAAGAGTTCCATAAGAGCCAGTTGCTCTCGGGGTGGGAACACCATCTGAGGATGAGGACTTCTCGCTGGAGGACTCCAGCTTCTGCCTCCCCTTTCATCTCCGGAGGGCATGGAAGGCAGGAGTTGGAAACAATTAAAGATGTGAATTCGACAGTCACCCACCTTTTTTATTTTACTGACTTCTGCATCTCTTATCAGCCAACTCACTACTTCTGCTCTTCAGAGGTTTGCAGCCCACATTAGTATGTATCACCACCCCTTCTTTCTGTTTTCCTACCATGTGTCAGTTTCTGGATGGCACTGGCTGTTTGTGCTCTAAGGGCTGGGGTTTGGGAGGTGCAGTGATTGAAGTTTCCCTCTGTCTTCAGTGCCTTGTAAAAACTCTATAATCTTGTGTCGTCTTCTACAATGGCAGTAACCAGCACCTGAAACCATGTCTGTAGAGATAAAAGCTGGGGATGGGGGCAGGGAGGGCAGGGGCTCAACTTGTTTTTAATCCGCTATCAAGATTTTTCTTAAAGGGAAGGAGGAAAACAGTTTTTGCTTGTCAGGGTCTGAGCTTCTGGAACTCTAGTTGTACGTTTTAAGACTCCAGCATCTTTTGGGAGAGGCTGGTTTTGCTGTAGCAGGGATGGGTGTGTTTGTGCTTCCTGCCCCCAGAACGTAGTAAAGTGAGTGTGCCATTGCCAACATGGATTTCTTAAGGGACATCCCCGACAGGGCATCCTGAGACTGATGAATCGGGGCACTGTGACTCTCAGTATGGAAAGCCTGGCAGGAGAACCCCACGGGAGCCCTGACAGAGGGGGGTTGTGTTCGCATCAGCCACCCAGAGGCCATATGAGGCCGTGGGCCTGGAGGGAGCTCAGAACAGAAGACGGGAGACAGGGTCAGAAGAATACCTGCATGTTGTTTTCAGAAGTCCTGTGACTGCCCGCACTGTGTGGCCTTGGCCCTGGAAATCTGTCTGGTGCAGTTAGTCTTGTGCTGCGCCTGCTTACTGTCTCCCCAGATGCAGGGTGGTCCCCCAGGCTTGGGACAGTGTGCTCTGTGGGCTTCCCCACAGCTTTACATCTCGCTCTTTACAGTATTAAATGCACATGCCTGGTTGTGGTGCCAAGGACAGAGGCAAGTGTTCCAGGGCCCCATCCCTATAGCCCCCTGACCTCATGTGTAGATGGGAGGCCCGATTCTTTATCAGGCTCAGGAACACGGGAACCGCTGCCTTGTAAGTGATCACAGTATAAAACCAGCCTATTCTTTTGCATTGTTCCCTTTTTTCCCAAAGGAATGTAAGGGAAACCAAGGGGAATTTTTGCCCGTGATTTCCAAGGCAAAGGTCACTCACTGTTAATGGCTGACTGTTTCCAGAGTGCTCAGGTTTCTGGTCAGTATGGATTTTTTTTTTTCTCTTTTTTTAAAACTCATAAACAAAAGAGGTTGATGTTGCCTTGCAAAGGTTTTCCCCAGCTGCTTCCATGAACGGCTTGCTGTTTAAGTTGCAGGGATTTTGGAGTGGGCAGCTCTTTCAAATTTTGATGGGACTGAGTTGTAAGTGATCTGTGTCCACAACAGAATATCTCAGACAATGAACTTGGTGGTAAAACTTGAAGGAAGGAGGGTGGCAGGTTTTATGGGTGGCAAAGTGTTGGGTGATTCTGCAGCCTGCTAAAATAAGTCAGTCTGGATTTTAAACTGGCCATATGGGTGCCCAAGAGCTTTTTGTGTCCCCTGGTGAGAGTGAGACTGTAAAGGAGGCTGCTGGTTTCTTTCGTTATTTATAATCCTGGGTGCTCGATCCTTGAAATTTGCAGCAAAAACGTACGATTATCAGAATGAAAAGGATGGCTTGGTAGCACATTTGCAGTAATGAATGAAGAAGTGCTGTATAGATGTAAAGTATTGATATTATGAAATACATAAAACCGGTTTCAGTAATTCAAAGGCCCAAATGAGAGAGGCAGAACTCAGCCTTATTATTTGATATTTGAGTAGTCACTATTTTTAGCATGAGAATTCAACCAAAAAAACTGATCTGTTTTATTGTGGACTTAATATTATAGAAAATAACTGATTTTCTGATTTCAGGAACTGCTGATATAAATGCTAGTTCATGTGGTGAATTTTCTTAACACCTAGAGTTTTACCTTAGACTCAGCTGAGTTTTCTATTCGGAATTAGAACATTTAACCACCCACATTAGATGTCTGGGGCAAAGGCGATCTTGCTTTTTTTATATTACAGAAAAGACCTTGTATTTTTTTCAGAAACTGATTTGCTTTCTATAAAATGAAAAAACGTGTTTTTTCTTAGTGATTTCCCTTCAAATCACTTATAAGTTACCTGGTTGCTCAGAAGAGAGAATTAATGATTTTTACATTACCTATAATTTGAACTATGATCTTCTTTCACAAAATTAATAAAAGTAAAATGTTTCTTCCATTATAATGTATAGTACATGTTTTGTATTACTTTAAAAATCAAACAAAAAATAATCACTTAAAAAAGTTAACATTTGCTCAACAGAGAAAATTAGGGAGATACAAAAAATAGAAAAAAGATAGTTGTGTGGGGTCCAACCCCTCAAAAACACTGTTAATAATTTTGGTGTATTTTATGGGTAATTTTCAGAGTTGAAGCTATTTTTTAGTAATTGGTAATTAATAGTTAATGCAGTCTCAATTTATACAGTCTTAATTTCTATATAAGCTAAAGATTTTTTTGATAGCCAAATTATGAAAGTGAAAATTTTTTAGTTGTAATTTTTTAAAGTTATGGGTTGAACCTAAAAATTATTGCTACCTAAAGTAACAGAGACCAGAGATTCATTCTCTTGAGAGATTCATTAGGTCACTTGAGATTTTCTCCAGTAGTAGTGGACACAGCAGCCCGGATAAAGTTAAATCATAGATCAGTAGTCACCCACTTCTCTTAAGATATAAGTGAAGAGTGAAGGTGTAATTTCCTCCTCCTGGTAGTCCATTAAGGGAAGTCACCAGGGGGCAGTGAAGTTGTTAAAAGTCAGGGAGCTAGAAACACAGATCAACATCAAGAGTCTGAAAGATTCACAAAATGAATCACCCTCTCCTAATCAGAGGCTTGGTCTCTATATTTAGATGCTGTATTACAGCGAGATCCTCCTACAGTATCCTGCAGGAAGGGGCTATTGGTCCCGGAAGAGTCCACAAAGAACCTTGGGTTTTTTTAGCAAAAGCGTACTTTCACATAGACTGTCCAGCAGCAAGCGTGTAGCAAAGGTTTGGGAAGAGTCACAGTGTGAAATGGTTGCAAAATCTATTTTATCCCCTTTGCATCTTGCATGCCATGTATCTAGACTAAAGCTTGTCCTCTGCAGCATGTCTTTGCCCATTTCCCTCTTTGAATTCCAGCCTAAAGAGGCTCTGGCTTTATTCTTTCCAGCTTAAGTGAGAGCTTTTTCATGGTGAAAGGAGCAGCCCTCTTCTTACAACAGGGAAACAGCCCTCAAGGCCAGAGGAGTCTTCAGCATCCCCACAAGCATGCAGGTAAACTGAAGTTCTTCATTGGAACAGATTTTCTGTACAGCAGAGGAACCTTCCTTTACTGATGGTGAGCAGTTTGCTGGTTTTCAAGGCCAGAGAAATAGTGGAACACAGACACATAATGACTAGTGATAGGCAGAAGCTCTTTTCTGAAGCAGGCCACATGTGTTTTCCAGGGGGCATCAAGAGCTAGCAACCGTTTTGACCACACGTGTCTACGTAAGAAGTCAGGTACTCAGCAGTGTTGTGTTTGGATGTGAAGATTTCCTACTCATCAGTGAACTGCAGATTTTAAGTTACAATATGACTCTTGAACAAATGTACCAGAATGCATTATAGCTGGATGTTGTCCCCTTGAAAATAACCAACTTTAGGTTGGTGTGTACTGTCTCAGGGGACACTGTCATTTCTCTGAGCATTTGGAAAACTCTCATTTGGGGAATTTCTTTATGAGCCTTTCATCTGTGGTGGGAAGTTTTTATCATCTAACAGTGGGTTAAGTTTTTGGAAGTAGACAGAACTAATAAAGTGAGGATCAAACTGAGTATTAGGTCCAAAAACAAGCAAATAAATGCCTATGATGGAATAATGCCTATCGTTTTCTTAGGTCACTTGACTCTGAAACCAAAGGCAATTTATTCAGAAAACATTTGTGTATAAGTGAGTCTTTGTAGTGGGTGGATAGCTTCCCAGGCACTTCATGGATGGGCAGCACACATCTGAACGTGAGGTAGAGAGGCCTTGGACGCTCAGAACAACAGGTGAAAGAAAGTTTTGGATCAGAGCACCTAGGTTAGAATTTCCTATCTTACAATTTATTGCAAACACTAAGACACCATCAGTATTTTCACATACTGATATTTATAATCAAGATTTAAGTCTGTTTCAAGCTAAGAAAAGAATTGTCCTGCACAAGGAGGCCTCTGATCCCAGTTCTGCACCTTACTGGGTAGTCATGGTCACCTTCTGAGCCTCAATTTCCTAATCTTCACAATGGGCACAAAATATGGGTCCCTCAGACAATAAGGAATTTAGAATATATGCAGTAACATACCTCCTCATGTGCTTAGGGTATGGTAGCTATATATTCATCACTACAGTGACTTCTAGCACAGTAAAACCATGAACAGAACCTACCTTCTTGAATTTGCTGGTGGCTCTGCCCTATTAGGAATTTAACCATTGTTCATGTCTTAACCGTAATACATACAGCAAAGCGAATGCTCAAGTATAAAATCTTGTTCCCTAAGTATAAAATGTTTCCTAATTCAAGTAATATTTTCGTACTGCATGCGTGTTCAGGGATAAAAGTGCAAAACCGTCTTGTAAAAACCCTCAGTTAAGCTGGCTCGTGCATCCCTGGAATGCACATGAGAGTCAAAAGGGAGCCCCTTGTTGTTTCTTCTGCCCCGAAGTCTGGAATGGCTGGTGCACTCGGGAAGGCAGGGGGACTACTGACTGTCTGGTGACTCTCAGCAAACGGCCCTGGGGCAGGCACAGACCAGACTTTACCTCAGTTCCTCTTTTTCTAGAATTACCACAGGCCCGTCAGTAATCACCATGCAGAGCTGAGCACACTTGAAGGCTAATTCCACATCAAAGTAATTCAGGTCATTTCCGCCGGTTGCATCAACCTGAGACTCTTTCTAGGGCCTATGCTTTGGTCTTAGTTCTCTGACTGTTTTGCAAGTGCTCAGTGAACACTTCGGCATGTCGAGGCAGTGGTGGCCCTCAGCAATCCCTCATTTCCACAAGCAGTTCCACTGAAAGGAGTATGCTAGGAAGATGTCCCTTTCACTTAGGCACTCATCAGACAGAGGGGCTGGATTCTGCTTCCATCTGTGTGCTTCTGTGACTCGGAACGAACAGTGCTGGGGCCCTGGCAAGCCAGGAGCCAGCTGTGGTGGTTGTGGCCATTGCGGTGTTGGTGACAGTGAAGGTGAGGGTGTTGTCAGGTAGAGGAAGGGGAATGGGAGCTCTGTGCCCTTTAATGGGAACCATTCCCTCTGGAAAGTGGCACCAGGGTAGTGTTTTACTCTGAGGAATCCTATCACGGAGAGAACAGACTGGAGGCGCAAACTCCTTGCGACCTGATTCCTCCTGGAGGCAGGAGTTCCAGTTTGGACATCCTGTCAACCTGCCTCAAAATGTAAAAAATGTTTTTGCAAAAGGAACAAATCCAATGTCTTGATTCCTCTGGGGTTCTAATTGTGATCTACAAAGTAATTTTTTTAAGGTAATTTCTATTTCTTTTTGATTAATCAAAGTTAATATATATTTTCTGAGTTACTCACACTGTTCTTCTAGATCAGCATTTTTACAGATGAACCTTTTCTTCTGAAAGAAACCCATGAAGACATTTTTTTTTATAATGTATAAGCTAGGAGAAAAGTGCCATCAGAGTCACCCTTGCTACTTGCCCAGTATGAGCCTCCATGAGGGGCCCCTGCGCCTTGGGGCTGATGGCCCTGTGTGGCCAGGGAAACTCCATCCCAGAGGCACATTCTGGACCCTGGGGCTGCTAAGAAAAGTTTGAAATCTGTCATTGCCTCTCTTAAATAACTAACGCATAAAAATGAGTACATAATTTTTAAAAAAGAAAATGACAGATTCCTGTTGACTCAAATTACTTCTCTGGGCATCTAACACATATCTGCTCTCTGTAAAGTCACTTAAACATTTCCCCTTCTGCTTATAGAAGTAATAGCTCCATTACAAAAAAATGTAGAAGAGCTTAAAGATCTTTTTCTTTCAGACCAACTCTTAGCACATCCCCTACTCTAGCCTTTTCTGTAGTTTCTGCTTCCCCACCCTGCAAAGTAATGTTTGCTTGAATTTAGCAGTTTCTCCTCAAGGCTCTGTCTGTAGTTTCCAAATTTTGCATTAAAGAAAACCTGTATTTTGAGTATTTCAGAAAATAAAGCAACCTTTAAAAACATGGCAGTTAGCTCTATCTTACCCATTCTCATCCTGCAACGTTCAGGAGTGGGGTGAGAGAAATTGAGACTTGGAGGTTTTGTGGTATAGACAGAGGAATCTTAACTTCTGTGTCTTCCTCCAGACCCTTAAAATGAGCTTCTCCTAGGCTTCTGCTTTTTCAAACTTTCTTCGTTGGGCCAACAGGTGACTTGCCCCAACATCTTCAAGTAATGATCAACCTTCTGCGGTGTGAAGACAGAATCAAGCTGGTAAGAAGAGACGATAGTGGCAAGTTTGTAATTTTTAATTGTGAAATTTGATAGGGAATCATTCCTGAGAAAGGGGGTGCGGTGTGGGAGGAGCTTTTGTATTACCACAAGTTCTCCCAAATTGTTCACCAAAGCTGAAGCCAGATTTGCCCCTCAGTACACAGAAGGTCCAAAAAAGGGATATGTTAGGTTTCTATGTTGGTCTGTGCAAAGTTGGTATCTTCTTTCTCTGGATTTTATTTGTTCACTTATTTAACAAACTTTGGAGGTCTCTGAGCCAGGCACTACCTATCCCTTGTGCTGGAGGTGTAAACAAAATGTGGCTCCTGTCCATAAGAATCTCATCTTCATTCCTAAACCCACAGGGGAAAGGGGAGAAAACAAAAGTCCTTAACCTTGATTTGGCGAAGGTAGGGGCCACCACCTGGAAAGGCAGGCCAGTGAAAGCGTCTTCGCCTGTCTAGGCTGTGCGCTTGGAGAGTGCCTGGGCGGAGCGGGTCCGGTACATGGTGGTGGTGGACAGCAGCGGGCGCCAGGACACTGAGGAGAGCATCTTGCTGGGAGTCGACTTTTCCAGTAAGGAAAGGTGAGTCTAATGGGCTGGTGGTTCCCTTCTACAATGGGGACAAGAGTTGCTGCTGGATAAAGGTTTCTCTTTATCCAGAGAGATGATGGTGGGAAGCATAATGGCAGGTGGCACACAGGTGATCAGGCCCTGGGAATAGTAAAACACACCGTTTCAGCTCTCACATGCCAGGCACAGTGCTAGATCCAGTCTCTGCTCTCAGCCAAAGGTCTACCAAGAAGAGAGAAAAATTACACTGTGGTTAGGGGCTTAACAGCAGGTGCTGTTAGTATGCTATATAAGAAGGCATCTTAGCCTGGAAGGCTTCCTGAAGGAGGTGATCACGGCTGTGGTGAGCACCCAAGGACCAGCAGGAGCCAGTGAGGGGAAGCATTGAAGGCACACTCCAGGCAGACAGGCCCTTGTGGAAGTGTGTAATTGATAGGCGTCCTATCGAGCACCTTACCCAGTATTGCCATCTCATGGACTCCAGGTCCTTGTTGACTGCTCCTTGGTCAGAGGCTTGAAGCACCGTTTGGAATTTCCCAATCACTGGAGGAAGGTTAGTTATATCATAGCCCCTGTTATGTGTGTGAAATGTGGGTGGATAGCTCTTTTTACATCTAGATGTTCTTGTGTGTGAGATCATTGCAGAACTTAGATTTGTTAAAACTGGATTAAAGTAGACTCCCTTTATTCATGTTCATTAATCTACTCATTCATTAAGCAGATGCCCTATGTGTGTTTTCCTGTGTGTGAGGCAGTGGGCTGGGCCCAGGTCCTCAGAGACAGCAGTACCGAGCTCTCACCTGCAGGGTGCCTATCAGCTCAGCAGGAAGAGAACCAGACCCAGGGGGCTGGTGGACAGGTGCATGGGGAGAGTGTGGGTGCAGACAGGGCACGCCAAAGCCGCGTGGGGCTGGCAGTGGCTAAGCTGAGACTTAAAGACAAGTGGACAGTTGGGCAAGTTCAGGGGTAGGGGCAGAGCAGGGGGTTGCACCCAAAGAGCATTTCAGACAAAATTGGAGGGAAAAAACAGCGGTGGTGATGAATGGCATGGCAACCAGGCAGTCTTGTTCCCGTGAGGCAGCGGCTGTTAGTTACATGCTGGGACCAAGACTTTGTTGCTTTTTACAAGTAGGTGCACTGAGGGAGATGTGTGTGAGCTGGCCCTGCAGCCTCAGGCTTGGTGGGACATCTGGGTCTGGAAGAATCTGTAGCATGACTTGTCTTAGGAGCTGAGCTCTGTAGAGCACCATTGGAGACCAGAGGGCTCAGTACTTGATGTCAGGATACCACCACCAAGCAGGTGTTCTCAGCCATGAGCAGAGAACACTCTTATCTTTTTTGGCCACTGTGTTATGGTTGTGAGGCAGAGAGGTGTTTAGTATTTGACCGAGTTGCTGTTGTATCTGTTTGAGTGATTAGCCAGGCTTTCTGAATCCTTCAGGGGCAAGGATTCCCCTTACCAAGTGTGGTCTAATCCAGCAACAGTTTCTGGCCCTGTGCTGAAGCCTCCCTGTAGAACATGCCCGTTGTCTCATCCCGAACTGCTGGAGGTCTGCCCTCCTCCCTGTCACCTCTGTTCCTCTAGTTGGAGAGTACAGCGCAGTTGATAAAATGCTTCACCAGCGTCTCACTTAACCCTCAAATCACCCTGTATGGTGGACAGCCCTAAGTCACATCTCAAGAGGTTGGGGTGGTTACACCAAGGCCATCCTCGTACAGAGCTAGGACTCAGAATCAGGGCTTTTAGTATAGACCTGCGGTGTAGACCCCTTTCCTTGAAATGTTGCTGCTGTCTCGTCTACATGTCCCTATTCATTCATTTATTCATAAACATGCTGTATACATACTTTTTGGCACTTTGGGCATGCCCGCCACCCTGCCAGGTGCCGGAGCCACATCAGTGAGAGACAGTCTCTGCTGTTTCCGAGCTCATGGCCTGGAGGGCATGGCCATGGCCCCAGATATTTCCATCTGTGTTCTTCACCAGCTGGAGTAGACAGGCCTGTGTGTGTGCTCATTCTCATCCACACATTGAGGTGCCCTTTCCTACCTTTGCCGGCTCTTGGCATCTCCCTTCTGTTCTCGTGGGGTCCCCTCTCCCTGGGACCTCTGGTCTCTGTTGTGGGCTGTGCTCTCAGGCCAGGGTTCCCTCCACTGTCTGATTCTGAGCCACAGCCTGAGGGCAGTGCTGCCCAGCGCGATACCTTATAGCTGGGGAGGTAGGTTGAGGGGCTACAGAGAGCGTGCGGGGGTTTGGAAGCTAAGTGGTCCTCCCTGTGGGTCCTGTGCAGCCGTCTTCCATGCCCAGGCCTGTGGGGGCCGGGAACCAGGCGTTCTCCTGCAGCTCCTGCACTCCCAGGCGCCAGGCACTTTATACATCGCTGGCTTGGAAACAAAGGCCTGGTCCTTACAGAAGCCTTTGGCCTGTTGAGACCTTGACATGCTTACTTTTCTAAACTCCTACTATGAGATTTTGTTACCTTAGTCCAAAAAAATAAAAAAAGAGATGAGCATTGTCCCCAAAGGATGACTTCAGTGGGTTCCCAGGGAGAGGCAAGAGAGAACGCACACCCTGAGTTCTCTCTGAGTCTCCTTTCTCACATGCTTCCTGGGAGACCAGAGCAGCCACCCCACAGGTCCCATCTTGGATTACTTTTCTTTCCGATTTGGGTACACCTTGAACACCAAGAGCACGTACAGTGGCCCCCACTTGGTGTTCTGCAGACTGTAAAGGGCCTCCACAGTGCAGCTTGGGACAAGCCTGTCTCCTGCCAGGACCTCCAGTCCTCACCTAAGCCCAGCTGGCTTCTCTGTCCTGTGTGCAGACGAAACTGCTCTCTTCTACCACAGTTGTCTCCCCCAACTCCGCCACTTTTTCTTTTAAGACCATTCTTCCTCTAAAGACCCAGTATCCCTGACTACATATCCTTTCCCTGGTTCTCAGATAGGTAAACCCACAGGAATTGTTGAATTGTTGTGATGCAAACATGTTAGTGTTGACCACTACAAGACTACTGGAAACTCACAAGAATAACAGAAAAGGAAATGTTAGGAAACTTGTAGAGTTGTTACGATCATGTCATGGGCCCTGCTCTGTGCTCTTGACTTGACTCCAACTTGAGGCCCTGAAGGAAGTTCCTTGGGGACTTGTGCCCTCTGAGTATAACTCATCTTTGGGCCTGAGGGCCCCCTCCATGCCCCCCAAGCACTGATATGACCAAGTAACCTGGAGCTCTGTGCGTCTCCATAAATTTTATTTTGAAACTCTACAAAGGACCTAGAATTAGCCCATCAAGAATGGGTAGGATATCAGGTGGGGGACCTGAGAATTTGCCTTATGTAAAAGGCTCAGTCTAATCTGACCCAAAGGCTGGAAACCACCTTCCCCACAGATCAGAAGCAGAGGGTGGGAAAGAGTTCCACGGGGTCGCAGATGCGGGGGGGGGGGTCACATGCTGGGAGCCCCACCCCATGGCTGCACAGTTGTAGGTCCTGTTCCCCCTCCCCGGGGGGCTGTAAAGTGCTGGCAGGCATGTACGTGCAGGCTCCCTGGAGGTTGTCAGAGATGGTCTTGACAGTTACAGCAGTTTTTTCCAAGCACTCTTTTTGAAGTGCCTGAAGAATTTTCATTATAATCTGAGGAGACCCTCCAATAAAGTCCCTTTTTCCCCGTGTTTCCCGCTGCACCAGTCTCTAAATTCATTAAGCATCATTTCACCATGGAGATGGGCCACACAAAACAAAGCTGGTTTTTTAAAAGGCAGTGGTACAAAGGTACAGAAGCAGAGGTCCGGAAATGAACTCGAGCGGTGGTTGGCACTCTCTCTGCCCCGTCGCCCTGGGACAGGAGGCTGCAGTTCGTTGGCTGCCACTGCTCCCCTGTGTACCCCGGAGTGCATGTGGCCTGGTGCCCAGCGTGCGCCAGCCATCAGTGGCCTGTCCCCCGCTGCAATGCAGACGTGTGGTCCGCTGGCTGGTCCTTGTGCCCTGAGAGCCACAGTTGAGACCTGGCGTTTATGGAGCTACATCCACACAAAAGGGTGGGGCCACAGTATCCTGTGATTCTCCCCAAGGGGGTCACTGGCGACTGCCTGTAGCAGGGCCATCCCAGACTTGAGTCTTCTAGAGTCCAGCAGTGAGTGGTCCCTCCCAGATGGCCCGAGAGCTCCTCCTTATACGCACCCAGCAGCTGGACTCAGGTCTCTGTGAGCTGGGCAGGCTGGGCGGAGACACAAGGAGGGAGGACCGTATGAGTGGGTGACCCTAACCGTAGACGTTTTCTCTTTCCTCCCGAGTAGTAAAAGCTGCACCATTGGCATGGTCCTCCGACTGTGGAGCGACACAAAAATCCACCTTGACGGAGATGGGTAAGGAGATCTCTTTAAAAGACTCTTTCACTGTAGACTTTGAAACATACTTGGTTTGGGCACTGTTGGTTAATCATTAGCAACAGAATCACATGTGTGATGTATGTATTACACCAGGAGATGAAACATGCCCTCCAGGGAGTCCCACAAGCGAGGGGACATTTCGGGCATTACGTGAGGGAGTTTGGGTCATGAAGTATCGACCCAAGAATATTATAGGAGAGCCACTGCTGTATGAAGGTTGAGAACAGTAGGAACTGGCATTCTTTTACCTGGATTTGTTAATGTTCACTCTGAGCGCTCCGTGTGGTTCACAGAGGAGCATGCCAGCAGGAGCTCACGGCCTGCGGGGCTGAAGGGAGGGACGTACGCCGACAGACAGAGCAGCGTGTCAGGTGCCTCTGGTGGCTGCAGAGGGGGAGCCATTCAGCTCGGCCTGGGCAGGTAGACGGGAAAAAAGGGCCCATCTGGGTTCCACAAACATTTGTTCTTGGGAAAGATACACGGTCGACAGCGAGTGGAAAGAAGCTGAACAGACGTTGTCCCTACACAGAGATTCCACAGTGACAGTTAGGTCGCCTCATAAAACTGAGAGAGAAAAGTAAGAAGTGATTTTTTTCTAAAGAGGCAGAATTATGGTTAATATTTTTCCTTTTTAGAATTTTGTCTTCCATTAATAAATTTTCCATGCAATTACAAAAAGAAAATAGGTGAGGTTTGCGGGGCAGAAAGTAGCTGGAGGTGGGACCGTTGCAGGAATGGGATGGCGTCGAACGCTGTTGCTGCCTTGTGCCCTTTTCCGGAGTTCCCATTTTTGGTAGACGTCGCATTGCTGGGTTACAAACACGTCTCCAGATTTGAGAACATATCCCTTTTTCTTTTTCTCATTTTTTTGCTTTTGCCCTTGTCTGACGCAGCAGACCTGTAGGCCCTTGTCAGACAGCCTGAGCCACGCCTGTCCTCAGGTGCGTGGTGGGCCCGCCCCCATTGCCACAGGGGTGAGTTAGGGGGTCTGCTCTCTCACCGGGGTTCCCTTTCTGTTTCTCATTCTCAGCGGATTCAGTGTCAGCACAGCAGGAAGGATGCACGTCTTCAAGCCCGTATCCGTCCAGGCCATGTGGTGAGTGTGGTTTTGGGGACTATTGTCTCTTCAGAAATGTTTTCCTGGCTGACAGCATAAATAGAAAAACCCCTTCTATGTAAAAGTTCATATAGGCGCATTGATTTTGTGTGTGTAGCAAAATATACATAATGTAAAATTTACCATTTTTAAGTGTACAATTCAGTGGCATTAAGGACACGTAATGCAGACATGTTATGCAGCTGTCACCACCATTCATTCCCAGAAGTTTTTCATCATCCCAAATAGAAATTCTGTACCCATTCAACACTAGCTCCTCTGTCCCCAGCCCCTGGCAACCTCTGTTCTGCTTTATGTCTCTGTGAATTTGCCTCTTCTAGGGACCTCATATAAATGGAATCATATAATAATGGTCTTTTTGTGTCTATATGTCTCTGTGAATTTGCCTCTTCTAGGGACCTCATATAAATGGAATCATATAATAATGGTCTTTTTGTGTCTAGCTTATTTCACTTAACTGCAATGTTTTCAAGGTTAGTTCATGCTGTAACATGTGTCAGAATTTCAGTCCTTTTTAGGGCTGAGTAATATTCCATTGTATAGATAGACCACAGTTTTGTTTATCCATTCATCTGTTGATGGACACTTGGTTATTTATACCCTTATTTAGGCTATTGTGAGTTAATGTTTCTATGGGTGAACAAAGTATCTATTTGAGTCCCTGCTTTCAATTCTTTTGAGTATATACCTAGAAGGGGAATTGCTCGAGCATCTAGTGATTCTGTTTCACTTTTTGAGGGACCACCACACTGTTATTCAGAGTGGCTGCATCATTTGACATTCCCACCAGCAGTACACAATTTCAGTCCACTTTCTCCACATATTCTCCAACACTTGTTGTTTTTTATTTTTTGTCATAATAGCCATCATAGTGGGTGCGAAGTGACTGCACTATGATTTTGATTTGTATTTCCCACATTAAGAATTGTCAAACATCTTTCCATGTGCCTACTGGCTGCTTGTATATCTTCTTTGGAGAAATGTCTATTCAGGTCCTTCAGCCAGTTTTTCATTGGGTGGTTTTGTAGTTGAAGGTATACTGTTTTTACATATCTACAGTTTCTGCTGACAAAATGTCGTTCCAGCACATTCGCCTACTCACTGCACCTGGCACACAGTAGGCACTCAGTTTGCTCCATGAAGGAAATCTCTGCTAGGCTCTGGGCACCTGGGAGCATTCCTGTCTTTGTGGGGTTTCCAGTCTGATGAGGGAGGTGGCCATAAATACAGGAGCAAGTCCTGTTATAGCAACGAGGGCTGGGAAGGCATTTTCCCAGGGTGCTGGGCTACAGGATACTTCCTTCAGGGCCTGGGCAGGGGTAGAGCCTCCATGGACACTCTGTTTTGGGGACGAGGTAGCGGTGGGTAAAGGCTGCACACAGCCAGAGCTTCCCTGAACCAGGCACACACCATAGAGCCTTTCTTGTCCTCAGGGGGGTTTCACACACCACTTATGCAGCAAAATCAAAATTACGGTCTCTCAAATAATCTGGAAAATACTCAGGAGAAAGCTGGTGGCATCTGCTGAGAAGAGTTCTGTCCAGTGTTTCAGAATAAGTACTCTAGTCTGGGACCGTGAGAGTTAATACAGTTTCCCCCTGGACTGTAAGTTAATATTGTGCCTCATTTTCACCTCTGTTATTCCACACCGCAGTCAATTCGGGATCACTTACGGGAAAAATCGTGAAATCATAATCCTCTAGGTGTGCCAGTTGTTCCTTTGTATCCTGGGATAATTTGTTATCTCTTTCTCTACAGGCCAGTAAAAGTTGGCCCATGTGTTTTTCCAAAACTTCAGAACCAAAACTAAATTTAGCAAATATTCAGCTCAAGTTTGTTCCCTCAGCCAGCCCTGAGATAGGACAAATATGTGTGACTGGGCAGTGACATGGATGGCAGCGGTTTTTACAGCAGTGTTGAGCCAGTCTCTGATGACCCTCTCTTCGTCCAAGGCTTCGGTCTTCCATGCTTCATTGATGCCTAGTTCACTCCATTCACTGAGAAATTTTCAGCCTATATTTTTGTAAAAAAGTAAAAATAGATGATCAAATTGACTATTACAGGTGTTTCAGTATTGTTTCTCCTGCCCCGCTCTGCCTTCCTGAACCTCTTCTTCATTGAGTTCCTGTATTAAAATGAGTTGCTAGAACTCATTTCCTTGCAAAACCCAAGCGTCTAAGCTATTATAACATTGATGGCAGGGGGTTAAAAATTAAGTTATTTAGAATGCAGTAAAATATCTTTGCTGCCTATTAAAGACTCTTTCCCTCCAACTGCTTGGCTTAGTTGTGGTTCCTACGTTCAAGGTTAATCACAACCTCCGGAGTAAATCTTAATTCTTGGGAGTTGATCGATGGCATGCGAAATGGTGCATGAACCAGCCTGATTGGGAGAGTTAGGGAGGGTTTGTTACCTTGTTGGAAATGCTTTTGCATCTGGCTTCAGTGCCTATGTCACAGGGACTGGCTCTGTCACCTGGCAGGCTGTAAGTTTGGGGCTGCCTTGCATCCCCCACATGTGAGAATGACCCTGGAACCGAGTCCTTTTGGACTGCCCTTTCCCACCCCGTTGAAACCCTTATTGGAGGAGAAAACCCAGCACTCCTTGTGTGCCCCCCAGACCTGACGCTCCTCCCTTCCTCACCCCAGGTCTGCCCTGCAGGTCCTTCACAAGGCCTGTGAAGTGGCACGACGGCACAACTACTTCCCCGGGGGTGTGGCCCTCATCTGGGCCACCTACTATGAGAGCTGCATCAGCTCTGATCAAAGCTGCATCAACGAGTGGAATGCCATGCAGGACCTGGAGTCCACGCGGCCCGACTCCCCAGCCCTATTCGTGGACAAGTAAGTGCGGCACCTCTGCAACCCCCATGCTCCCACCCCTGGGGACCTGAGTCTCCTCTCCAGTTATACCTCCCCTACAGTCCCTTGACGAGGGCCTGCTCCCCCAGAACCAGCACTGCAAGCAGTGGAGCCTCAGCTGTGGCCCATGGGCAGTCTTTGGCTGGGGGAGGGGTCTGTGGCCACCACCCACCTTTTAAAAGGATAGACACATTTGGATGTGCACGCATTTTTGGGGAACAGCTCCAACACTTCATCAGATCCCAAAAGGAAACATAGCCCACGTTATTACAGCTCTTGGGCAGTGCTCTGTGGTCTGGCCTTCCCTCCTCTGGTTGACAAGACTGAATGTCCATGGCCTCTTCCTCCACTCTGAGGAGTATTGTGAGTGTGATATCTGGGCCCCAAACACACCTGCACCAACAGAGGCTGAGGGCACCCTGCCTTAGAGGAGCAGTGGTGAAGCAAGTGGCCTGTGTCACGTGGCCACCCGCAGAGCTCATGAGGCCTGAGACCACGCTAAATTAAAGTCCAGTTCCAGAGGAAGGAAGTGGCTTGGTTAGGACCCTACCCCCCCCAGAGCGTCACATTCCTCTGGGACACTTCATTTAAAAGGGCTGTGGATGGAGGGGAGAGACTTGAGTGAGGAGAGGACCAGAGCCACATTATACGAGGCCTCAGAGAAATTCCAAGAGGGTTAGGGAGAAATGGTAGTCACCTTTGAATATATGAAGGATTATCCTGGTCCCTGTGGCCCCAAGAGTTAGAACCAGGACTGAAGGGCAGAAGTTAAGGGAAACACATGGGTTTTCCTTGTAAGAAAGATAATAGGAGCTGGACACAGTTGGGACCATGGGCTGACTCTGGACGCAGTGACATCCTTGCACCCGAAGCGGGGACGGAAAGGTTCAGTGGCGTGGGAGTGCTCCTGGGGCGGGTGCAGCATTCTGCCCCAGGAGTCTGACTCTCTGCAGGATCGGAATGAGGAGTGTGCGTCCCAGCCACTGCCCTCCACTGGGTGTTCACCTGTGGGAGTCCTAGACACCGAGCAGGACTTCTCTGACCCTTTCCCTTACCTGAGAGCGTGCACACCCAGAGGTTAGCTCTGTGAGTCCAAGCCACGCTCTGCTTAGCCCAGGAACACCTGGGGTTTCTGTAAATGCTGCCCTCAGGCTTCCTATAGTTGTGTACTTTCCTGAACGGCATTTCTTTCCAGGCCAACTGAAGGGGAAAGGACTGAGCGCCTCATCAAAGCCAAACTCCGGAGCATCATGATGAGCCAGGATCTAGAAAACGTGACCTCCAAAGAAGTAAGAGAGCTCTTCCCTTCTTCGCTGGGCAGAGTCACACCGTGTTTGTATGTCCTATTGCCCAAAGCTCAATGAAGGCAGGTCCTGCACCTGGCCTCTGTTCCCAAGGGGCTCACCAGCTCTCAGAGGCTTTTTCTTGAAGGGCTTAGCAGAAAGAGCACAGGCCTTAGAGTCAGACTCTAGTTTGAATCCAGCCTGTGGTGTACCAGCTTTGAGACCTTAAGCAAGTTGCCTGACCTCTCTAAACCTGTAAGACTTCGATGAGGATTTCCTGAGACCTCCCGTTTGCACCGGGAAGCACTTCCCTGTTAGCACCTACTCCTCTGCCCCGTGTCACCTTATGTTTTCCTTGAGCTCCAGCAAACTCTTATTTGTTCACAGGATTACAATGAAGCCACAAGTTGCCTTCCCGCTGCCTTTTCATGCTTTTCTAGCTCACTTTTTTTTTCCAGTTGTTTTTTGTTCAAGAAATGCAATGAATTATAACAACAGCTATAGGTTAGGTAGATGTAAGAGGTTGGAATGGCCATTTAAAAAGTCATATACATAATCTTTTTTTTATTAAAGTATCACTGACATACAATATTATGTTGGTTTCAAATATACAACAATGGTTCAAGTTACACATGTTGTATGTATTCTTTTTTTAAATTAATACACTTAAAAAATCATATTGTGATACTTTCCATAGCAAGGTGAAACTGATTTTACATTTTCACTGTGAAGTATCTGATATTTAAATTGTAAAATTATAAGTGCCATAAACCTAATAGAAAAGACCCCATGGGAGTCAGATTCCTTATTTGAAATAATAAACTTCCCCCAGCCAAAATTTACTTTGAGGCTGAGTGTCCTGTGTTCCCATCAACCACGTGTTCACGGCATCTGACTAAATGCATATGTGCTGACTGAAAAACAGCACCTTTTTGAAAACAGGTGCAATTCATTGTGACTTTAGTTCCTTGGAGGTGGACAGCTGTCTTTGTTGTTGTTGTTTGTGTTTTTACAAAATCACTCTTCCTAATACTTTCTGCTCCACAGATCCGTAATGAGTTAGAGAAACAGATGAACTGTAACTTGAAAGAATTCAAAGAATTCATAGACAACGAGATGCTGCTTATCCTGGGACAGATGGACAAACCCTCCTTGATCTTCGATCATCTTTATCTCGTAAGAGGCACAGCACGTGGCAGGGTCTGGTTTGGGAACATCAATCAGACCTGGATTGTTTGGAGCTTGCAAGTGAGAGAGGGGGAGAGACTTGAGTTATGGGATCCTCAATCCTGACTGTCAGGGGAGCTCCCCCAGTTAACCCCGCCTCTGGCCTGCAGCCTAGTGGTTTGCTTTCAAGCCAGATGTTGGAGATGTGGCTCCTGGCTGAGCAGCGTGGAGTTGTTTGAAAGCTCTCTGGCACAGTCAACTGGTGCCTGCCTTCAGACCCTCTCCATCCTTTGTCTCCTCCAAAGAGTTTGCAGGCTGAAACCCCCAGCTACTAAAAGGCGCATGCTCGCCAAACCCCAGAATTATGCCTAGGTGTCCCAAGACATGAGAAACAGTAGGGAAGACAGACCAGACATCTGAAACGCAGCTTCCCCCTGGACAGCTCCTCTGTTTGCTGCTCCCGGAGCCCACAGGGTGTGGGCCTCACTCACCAGCTGGGGGGCAGGGGCAAGGGGGTGGCTGTGGGATTCTCTTCACCTCCATCCCTTGCTGACATTTTCTTAGTACTGTAAATCTCCATAGAAGGCAACTGGCAAGTTTCCCAAGTCAGAGAGACTATAGAGGAAGGCACGTTACTAAAATTAGAGCGGCAGCGCAGTGTAATGAAAATCAGACCACCGGGGCCGAGTTCCCACCCCCCAGCCTGACTGGCTACGTGACTGGGGGCAAGTCTCTTCCTCGTGTCCCTCAGCTTTATGCATGAGTTGATTATGAGAAGTGAAATGCATATCTGAAGCACTGCGCACAGTTTCTGTAGGTGCTGGTAAATGGTCACATCTTTAGGAGCAGAAACCGATTCCTGGGTAAGTTGAGAAAGTGTATTTGCTGCCAAAGGCATGACCAGTTTCGTTTTCTGCCCTAGGAAGTCATAGTTCTCCAAATGCATATGGCATGATATATATGAATATATTTACATATATATGTATTTATGTATATCGGTCTTTCCATATATTAAAATATATGAATGTGTGGATTTGAGGCCTCTATCTTGAAAGCTGTGGGGCAGCCCTGGGCTCTGATCTCCAAGCAGTTGACTATTTTCCCTGGTGGAACTGGATCAGAAGGCATGTCAGCTCCTCTCTCCACTAGGTGGTGATCAAGGCAAGAGGGCGCTCCCAGCCTTAGTGGCGCTTCCGTTATTTTTTTGGTGCAATTTGGTGCTTTATGTCACTTTTTCCATGAGAGATACTAAAGGAATTTTTATGCCTGAGCCTCTCCCTCAAGTATGAAAACCCAGCTAACACCCACACATTGCCCACTCCATCAGGGCCCACGCGTTCTGAGGGGTCTGCCTCTTGGCAAATTTGATAGAATACTGTAAAGATGGGTCCTTCTGCAGTTTTTATGACTGTCATTCGCATTTCCTAAAAGCAGAGTGATAATTTTTCTTTTTTCCCTACTGTGTTCTTTGCATGCCCAGAAAGGGAGGGTTTGATTTTTTTTTTAAATATGAGTTTACAAGTATTAAAACATGTTATAGAAAGTGAGGAAATACAGGTAAATCTAATGAAGAAAACAAAATGCAGTCTCAGTTTTACAAATTCAGAGGTAGTCACTGTTAGCGTTTTGGTTTATTTATATTCCCATCTTCTAGTTTTTTTTCTTTTTATGCCTATATAGCTTCTTAAAGAGAAAGAAGGAAAGACTCATACTCTTTATATAGTTTTATAAACTGCTTTCTTTAAAAAAAAATTTTTTTTTCACTATGTGGTTTTTCCCTGTGTCATTAAATTCCACCAAAAGTATGATTTATTTTCAACAGCTCCATCATACAGAGCCACCATCATTTATTATAATAATTTATCCTTGTCGGACCTTTGGGTTTTTTCCACTGCTTTGTTATAATTAACTGTAAATATCCTTGTACATAAATCTCTGTGCAAATTCTGGGTGTTTCCTCAGGGTAACTTTTTATAAATGGAATTCCTGGGTCAGAGGATGGGAACTTTTAAAACTGCTTCCCAGAAAAATGTAGACCAAATCCTGCTTTAATTAGTGGGTGTGAACATGCCCTGTCCTGAGTGAGAGGTCAGAGGTCACTGCCTCTGGTGCCAGGCCCCTGCCGGAGTCTTAGCAAAGGAAGCAGTGGGTCGGGGAGGACGGGGAGGCAGGTTTTTCTGAACTTGCTCCTTCCCTGAAGGCCAAGGGGCCAGCGAGGGCCTCCCACTCATGCTGACGACACTGTGAATGCCCCCGGAACTCCCCTTCAGTTCTCTCTGTTCTCCGAGGCAAAGGGCCCATAAAATAACCACCACCATCAGGCCTAGCATGCCCTGCATCCTGTAGGCAGCGCTGAGGCTGACATGTGACATTCATGGGTTTGTGTGATCTGTCCCCCAGGGCTCGGAATGGAATGCATCCAATCTGGAGGAACTGCAGGGCTCAGGGTGAGTCTGCTCCCCTCGTTGCCCCTCGTCCCTCCAGTCTGTGTAGAAACCCTCGGCTCTGCCACGGAGGTTGAGCTCTTGTGCTGCCTGGCTGTAATCACCCTGCACCCCGTCCCCAAAGCAGCTGCTGGGCTGATTTGCATAGCTAAACAGATATGCTTCAAAATGCCACCTCCTGAATAACTCATGGATTTTAGATTTTACTAGGGTTTTGTGTGATTGTGTGTGTCAGAGAGAAGGATTCTTAATCACACTCAAATGGTCTAGGACAGCCTGGATGCTGACAGTTCCGTGAGCCCCCCTCCCTTTGCCCCACTGCCCAACAGAGGTGCTGGGAGTCCTGGTGTGGGCACACATATCTGCTGGGCCAGTCAGCAACTCCGACCCCCTGACCACTCCTGGTTCCATCTGAGGTTACGTATTTGGGCCTGATGGGAATCTTGTGACTGAATACTCAGTGTTGGCCAGAAACATATGCCTGTCTTAGTCTGAGAAATGCTCAGCAGCAAGAATAAAAAGTGTTTAAATCTAGACCTTCAAGAACAGATGTCTGGACTTTTTTTTTTTTTTTTAAATAACACAGCCACAAAATCACCATTCTGTGGGTCTGACAGGATGGCATTCTTGAATTACTGCGTTTAAAAATCAAGACTAAACAAATCTTAAAATACATTTTTAGAACTACTGGTTAAAATGTGTCCTTTCAACAGAAAGTATTCATGAAATGTAGGGTGATCCTCTCAGTGCTTTTTCTCTTGCTGCAAATAAAGAAATAATTTTTAAAGGTAATTTTAAAAGCACTTAGAAGTGCTTTCTGAAAATCTATTTGAGGTGTTTTCTAACTCCTAAAATTGTTTTGGTCTTCCAGGAATTTAAGTATTACATTTAGAAAACTACAGAGCCTGGGTTAGCAGACCCTCTCAAGTATTTATTTATTTATAGGCTGCCCTGTTTCAAAAAGGATTTAAAGCAGTTCCCAAGGACATAAATAACAGATAGATATATTCTGCTTTTTAGCTATCTCAAAGTGGAGACTGTTTTTTTTAGAGCGTCTATACACTCTATATAATAGTTAGAAATTTTGAAATTTAGAAAAGTCGAAAAATGTATTGAAGTAATAAATGTATCTGCTTTCTAGAATTAACATTGCTTAACAATGCTTTGGGCTGAGTCGTCTTCTACACGTGTTTTATAAAGAGATTTGCTTTTTATTAAAAGTACATGGGATCCTCGATCCTGACTGTCATGGGAGCTCCCTCATCCCATAGAGGGCATTTAGAGAAATACAAAAAAAACACTATTAAGGAAAAATAAAAGTACTGCCATCAACATATACTCTTTATTAATGTATGTGTTGTTACTCTGATTTTTTGCAGTTCCGCATGCTGATTCTCCAAATTTGCTGTTTATTTTTTTCTCATTGCAGCGTGGACTACATTCTGAATGTCACTAGAGAGATAGACAATTTTTTTCCTGGCTTATTTGCGTATCATAACATCCGAGTGTATGATGAAGAGACAACTGACCTTCTTGCCCACTGGAACGAAGCTTACCATTTCATAAACAAAGCGAAGTAAGTGGGCGGAGAAGCCAAAGAAACCGGGCTGAGGCAGAAACTGGCAGACACCGGGTGGGCAGAGATTAATGACAGTCCCAGACACAGACTTCTCCTGGTCTGTGGAGGCTTCAGTGTCTGGTGGACTTCTGATTTTAGACCCCAGAATCCTGAACACCAAGGGGCAAAGTTTATCTTCACCAGGAGGAGACGCCACTGAGCTTGTTATCTTCCATCTAGTGTTGATGGTGACCTTTGACCCCAGTCTCATCATCAGCACTGGTTCCAGCAAGGATCCGATACTAAGTGGACACTCTTAGGAGCTCAGCCCACAGGGAGTCAGTGAGCCAAAGGAGGAAGGAGGGTAGGGCCAGTCGCCCGGGACTGAGCCCCTCTGGGGCCTGGGGCGAACGCCCTCGGCCATGGCCTATGCTTTCCATCTGAGTCAGCGCATTTGCCTGTTCGTGGACTGGGCCAGACCATCAGAGGTCCCCACTGCTCCAAGCCTGTCACCAGTGTCACCCATCTTGCCCTCACCTTATTCTCCTGCAGAACAGCTCTTATTCAAGAACAGAAAGAGAACCCTTGGAGATGCAATCAAGAGAAACCCCATCTTCTGCTTTGTACCCCTCCAGGTCAAAGCACAGAATCCCTTGCCAAATCTTAGTTTGCTTGCATTCCCAGGGGATAGACTTCAGACCAGCATTCTAAAAAAAAAACCTGAGATTGGGGTCAGATTTTAGGCCTAGAGTGTAGGGAATGAGCCTGTTCCCACCTGACCAGCAGATTGCTTCTCACATAAGCAGGCAGGGAGGTCGGTCTGCCTCCTGTACAAGAAAAGCTTCATAGGGGCAGTGCAGCCCCTTCAGTGTGGGGTTCCCTCACCATCTCGGGGAAGTGAGGCCTGAAGAGCCACTGTCCCGGCCTTACCTGTAAATACAGCCAGGCCAGGGCCAGTGCCTCCTCCTTGCAGACACCCTGAAGGCCCTGTCGTCTTTGGCTTCTTTCTCTCCCGGTGGGTCTCCGCTGCTGCTGTGCTTGCTCCGGCGTCCCAACGCTCCTGTCTGGTGAGCATCTCGCTGTCCCCAGGGCCTGGCAGGCTTGGGTTCGCTGATCCCATTCTTCTACAGCAACCGGTTCCCCGTCTCCATCTGCTCCAGCAGCTGAATAGCTTCCGCAAAGATCCCTTTAGCTGCTCGGTTGCTTCCCGCAAAGGAGGTTTTGTCACCTGGCCTATCCCAGCCATGTGGGAAGACTCCCACTTTGTCCCTGAAGGCGGCCAGTCTCATTTTGTCCCTAAAGGTGTGCCAGATTGGGGAGCTCCCCTGCAAAACTTGGCGGGCAAAGACAGGTTTATCTCGATGTCCCATTGTGTGCTAATTGATTTTGCAGTCAAGTTATTTCCTTTCCAGGGTGTGTGGACATCTGCTGCATAAACATCAGGACCTACAAGAGTCTGAGCAATGAGGGAACTTCAGGGTTGGAAAAAAATCTGTTGGGTAAAACCCAAGATAATGTTGTTTAAGCTTTCAACCCTTTCCCCCTCCACACCACTGCAGGAGGAACCACTCCAAGTGCCTGGTACATTGCAAAATGGGTGTCAGTCGATCGGCTTCCACCGTCATAGCCTATGCCATGAAGGAATTTGGCTGGCCTCTGGAGAAAGCTTACAACTATGTGAAGCAAAAGCGCAGCATTACACGCCCCAACGCAGGCTTTATGAGGCAGCTGTCTGAGTATGAAGGCATCTTGGATGCGAGGTGGGTGACAGTCTGCAGAGGACTGGCAGACCCAGCTGGAGAAGCCACACAGCCAAGCCGGCTGGGCTGCCACCCCAGTCCTTCCACCGCTTTGCCCCTGGGGTTTAAGGAGTGGTTTCCACGAGGGATCTGTTTTGATTTTGCTGGCACACTGGAAGCTAGTTTGCTGCTGGAGGGAATGGTGCCTAACTTCTAAACCAGGGCGTGACTCCGTGTGTGTCCAGGGCATGTTGGACACCCGTTTGCCGAGCATCTGCTTTGCGCCCAGCCCTGTGCCAAGCTTCACAGCATAGCATTCTCCCAGACTGAAGAGCAGACCACATGCTGCCGCTGATGAGCTGGGCAGCTTAGGGCAAGCTTGTCAGTCACCCTCACCCTCAGTTTCCCCTTCAGCATTAAGAATTGAAGCCCACCTGACAGGGTCGTGAGATTTATATGAGTATTGAACAATCTCACGTTTATAGGCACTTTGCTGGACCTGACTCATGTTAATAATAACGTGGCTTCTTTTTAAATGTCTAATCCCCACCCTAAAAAGCTCTGCAAAGTACAGGTTATCCCCAACTTATGGGAGACTGAGGAGCCGACGCTGGAGAGTGACTTGCCCCACATCACACAGCTGGTGGGTGGCAGAAGGGAGACACATGTCCGGCTGTCAGCCTTCAAAGCTCCAGGGCAGACAGGCCCTGAGGTTTTCCTGTCCTCTTGGGGGCTCCCCACCTGCTGGCCCCTGGTGGATCCCTTTGGACTCTGGGACTCACTTTCCTCCATTCCCTCTCTATTCAGTCTGTATGAAGCCCCTCTGGATTATTTCTGACTGGATTGTGAGGAGGCCGCAGACCAAGTCCACAGATAGCCTCCTTGCATGTTTGGGGAGGCGGGAGTGCCCCATGGGGTCCAGTCTGGGGAACAGCTCTGGGTATCCCTGGACTCCATCATTCGCAGCCAGAGGGTGGCTGGACAGACCCCAGGGTGGGGCCCCAGGAACGGGGTGGGCGTTTTGCATCCTGCTCTACCTTCCCTTGTCTCTTTGTCACTTGCTGCCATCAGGGCTTTACAGCCCAATCCGAGGGCCCTCTTGGCCTTCCCCGGAACATGCATAAGGGGCAAATGGTCAAGAATGACAATGGTGCTCCCTTGCATTGAAGAACAACCGATAATCCTCAGCTTATGCCGTCCTTTGGCATTCACTTTTCTCTTGTCCTGACCTTCAAAGCCCCGTGGCATTGGTATTGCTCTGAGGTTCCTGGGGGCGACTTACTTATTTCACTATAAGCCTTTTTCTTTCATCCTCTTCTTTTCACCCTTATGTTAAAAATGTAATATAAAAATAATACCACATTATTATAAGACATACTTTAAAAACTGACCCATAGTCTTTCTAACCTAGACAAACATTTCCAGTTTTCTCAGATCTTCCCAACTTTATTCATGTGTATTACATGCTTACGTCGTCATGTTAGCATTTATAAATCTTATTTACACTCTGTCTTGATCTCCATTGACTCCCTACAATATAGGTAGGAGAGAATTATTCTTTTTTTTTTAGGAGAGAATTATTCTTTTTTGGCAGATGGAGAAACCGAGAGGTGAAACGTTACGTGGCATGGCTAATAAGCTCACAAAATGAGATGGGACAGTAGGATCGTGATAGCATTTCAAGTCTGGACTCTCCTCATGTCATCATCCCACGACAGAAAGTCGTTCAAGGCTTCCCATGATGGGAGGCCATGAGTTAGGGTCCTAGTGTTACTTCTGTCGTCCTTGTGTTTCCTGGGGACAGATGAATAGAGAGCAGCTTTACCTAAGCGCGCCTTGTCTGTCCCTTGCTAGCTCACCCCCACCCTCTTCCAGGACACAGTAGGCTCTGGCCTCTGCTGACCTTCCTCTGTCCTTCCCTCAGCAAACAGCGGCACAACAAGCTGTGGCGCCAGCAGACCAAGAGCTGCCTGCAGCAGCCTGTGGATGACCCTGCAGGGCCTGGGGACTTCTTGCCAGAGACCCTGGATGACACCCCAGAAGGCCAGCTGCCCTGCTTGGACGATGCCGCCCAGCCTGGTTTCCCAGGCAGCAGGTCCTCAGGAGGACCCGCTCTTCCCTGCTGTTTCCGGCGACTCTCAGACCCTGTCCTGCACTCCCTGAATGACGAAACAGGCAGCGTGGTCCCCCTGGAGGACCTGGAGAGGGACGCTCTGTTGGGGGAAACGGCTCAGCCAGCAGAGGGTCACAAGCCTGCCAGACATGGCCAGGAAGGTTCTGGACTCTGTGAGAAGGAAATGAAGAAGAAACTAGAGTTTGGGAGCCCCGAAGCCCGCTGTGGCTCCTTGCCACAGGTGGAGGAGATGGAAAGGGAGGAGGGCCCCGGAGGAGGGAGGTGGGGGCAGCCCCCAGCCCAGCTTGATAAAACCCTGCTCAACTGCGAAAACCTAAATAACAACAACAGCAAGAGGAGCTGCCCGGACGACTTTGAGGTAAGCCCGGGCCGGTGGGCGGGCGCAGCGGGCCGCAGGCTTCCATCCTGCCCCGCAGAGCAGCTCCCGCACACCCCTGGCACTCCTCTCCGCCAGCTCGGCACCCCCAGCAACCAGGGGCTTATCTCAGAGCGATTCTGCAGGCTAATGGGGCTGTAGACATACTGAGGATCAGGGATCCGTAGGGGACATGACTAATCCCTGCACGCCCTCTTCACCCATGCACCCTGTTCATGTCTCAGGAACAGCTTCCAACTCTATTTCAACCTGGAGAAGAAGGTAAATGAAGGATGCAGCCCTCCTTTCCTGGCCAGAATTTGACTGAATGGGTGATATTATCTAGGGTGCCAGACCTAGAGACAAACATTCATTCATTTGTTCAACTCGTTTATTAACTGTGTGGCCAGGTTGGTGGGGGGATACAGCTATAAGATAACTAGGGACAGAGGGTCAGCACATAAGGATGTAACACAGGTACAGCTGGTGGTCAGCAGTGACAGAGAAACCATGGCATGGTGGGAAATAACTTGGAGGGGAGGAAATGAGAAGGAGCCAGGAGGAGGGTCTTCCTGGCCCAAGGAGCAGCAGGTGCCAAGCCCCTGAGGGCAGAGAGCCTGGTGGGTGCGTGAGGGACAGGATCTGGGTGCAGTCGTTGAGAGGCAGTGGTCTGAGGTGAGGTTGGACAGGTGGCCGGGATTCATGGAGCCTTCCAGCATGATGGCAGGACTCTGAATGTTCCAGGGCACTAGGAAGCCCTCTGGCTGTGGTTTTCAGACAGACTGGGAGAGACTGGAAGTGGGAATCCAAGCTGACAGTGGTTCAGGATGGGGTGAGGACAGACATCCACAGCTTGGGAGGTGTGTGGGGGTGGAGCTCTGCTGCCCCTTCTGTCTTGTTCTCCCTTCTCCCCACCCCAGGCCCTCTGCACAGCTCTCCCTCTACGTAGCTTCTGTTACTCACGGTCGGTAGGGATCCGAGCACTGCCATCCGGCGCCTGCCCTGGCCCCCGATGCCCTGCTGGTCTGTCGTGGTCTTGGCTCAGGGCTGCACTCTCATGACGTTCTTGTCCCCTTTCAGCATGCTGCCCTTTTTGGGATCCTTAACAAAGTGAAGCCTTCCTACAAATCCTGTGCCGACTGCATGTACCCTACAGCCATCAGGGCTCCAGAGGCCTTGGGGGAGCAGTGCGAGAACCCCTGTGCTCCTGCCATCTGCACCCAGCCAGCCTTCCTGCCCCACCTCACTTCTTCCCCTGTGGGCCACATGTCTTGTAGGTCCCGAGCTTTGGAGAAGCTGGCCTCTGGGCCAACCAAAAGTCCCCCATTTCTACCACCAGCAGGCTCGAGGAGGCCAGACTCCAGTGGTTCTGGGGCAGGGGCTGTCCCAGAGCTACCAGCTAGCCTTTTGGAACCTTCCAGAGAGACCCAAAAAGTCCTGCCAAAGTCCCTCCTTTTGAAGAACTCTCACTGTGATAAGAACTCTCCCACCATGGAAGTCGTGAAGGAGGAACCGCCATCTAAGAAAGATCTGAAGCCGGCCAAGGACCTGCGTCTGCTGTTCAGTAAAGAATCCGAGAAACCCACAACCAACAGCTACTTGATGCAGCACCAGGAATCCATCATTCAGCTGCAGAAGGCAGGCTTGGTCCGCAAGCACACCAAAGAACTGGAGAGGCTAAAGGGCATGCCTGCAGACCCAGCGTCTCCCTTCAGGGACAGCGCCAGCAGCAGGCTGGAGGCCAGCATACCAGAGGAGAACCAGGATCTGGCTGCTGTCCCTCCCCCGGGACCCCCGGCTCCACCCAGCATTGCTGGGGGCGAGAAGTCAGACTCTGCCCACCCCCCACCGGAAGGGGCCTCGTTGAAAAGCCCCACTCCCTTCCTCTGCCGCCTGGACCACACCAGTCATTTCTCAAAAGACTTTCTGAAGACCATCTGCTACACACCCACCTCCTCCTCCATGAGTTCCAACCTGACCCGGAGTTCCAGCAGTGACAGCATCCACAGCGTCCGTGGGAAGCCGGGCCTGGTGAAGCAGCGGACGCAGGAGATCGAGACCCGGCTCCGCCTGGCAGGCCTCACGGTTTCGTCCCCACTGAAGCGCTCCCACTCTCTTGCCAAGCTTGGAAGTCTCAACTTCTCGACCGAGGACCTGTCCTGTGAGGCCGACGTGTCCACAATAGCCGACTCCCAGGGTGCCAAGCTGAGTGAGTGTTCCTTCTTGAACGCGTCCCAGGCAACCGCAGGGAATCCAGCCGCAACCTCTGAACAGTCAGGGAAATCTGCCCCAGAAAACTTGAGAAGCTCCTCGTCGATGAGCAAAAGCTGACCCGCCTTTGCTGCGATTGGACTTAACATTTTCACATGATTCTTCCCTTAGTTTCACTGTGCATTTTGCTCAGCCCAGTACATCTTGATTTCTCGTAACAATTGGCATTCTCCTAACTGTTCTTCCCTTCTTGCCACCGGGGGAGGTGAAGGAACAAAAATAACTTAACACGTAGCACAAGAAGAAAGGGGAGATGTCAGTGGTGTGGCCTGGGGGAACCAGAAGCTGTCAACCAGTAGGCACAAAATTCTAATCCCCAAGTCATGTGTTTCTTTTTCAAAACCAATCATGTTTAAAGAAGAGCATAGACAGATATGCACACATACTGTTGTACTCTGCAACATGCGAAAGAATAGTTGTGGTGACGGGATCATCACCCTGGGGCACGTTCCTAGCTCGTTCAGGCCCTCTTGGGAAAACTCTTGGATGGCAATATAAGTCCTACCTCTGTTCCTGCTGTGCTTTTGATTTTTAAAATACAGTAATGACCAAGGCTCCTTCCAGGGAAAAATGCTGTGTCAGGAAACAAAATTTGTATTTTTTTGGTTGGGACCCCAAAAAGTGTTAAGACTATAAAGTGGACCATACCACGCACTGCCAGGTAAAGTCATACACAGGCGTAAATGCTGTGGCACCAGCCCTGTGGTGCGTGGAGACCCTCTGTGCAGTGGACTTCTCTGGCCTGCTGTGTTGTCGCAGCTGAGTGATGAGTGTCTGGCCTGCACTGGGTGCGGTGGGGGGGATGTGATGTCCTCTGCTGGGGCTAATGGTGAGGTTCAGATTGCTCCCCACCTGGCCTCCAGAGCACTGTTGAGTCTCACCTGCTGCTGAACCCAGTGTGGCTGTGTGGTTTTGAAAGCACTCGCGTGTCTGGCAGGGGTGTGGTTCTGAGATGGGGTCACCCTGCCAGCAGTCCGGCCCATGGGTTTGTTAGGTCCCATCCACTCCTGTCTGGCAGGGAGAGGAAATGTTGGTTGGCGGTGAGGCTCTCCTGTCAGTCCCTATTCAGGAGCAACTCAGAAGCAGCTTCTCTGTGAGGAACTGCACTGTAGAGAAGCTTCCCGGATGTTTACTGCTTCCTGCTTGTCTCCCACTCTTCTCAGCAGTGAGGATGGAGTAAAGGAGGGGTCTGTAGTCCCTGGCTGGGCTCGGGGGCAGCGCCTTTGAGAATTAGGTGAGCTTTGTGGGACATGCTGCTGCAGGCTCTGGGCTTAAGTGGAGGGACTCACTTACTGTCAGCAAGACAGGATGATGAAATATTCTGAAGAGAGGGAAGAGGCTTGGTAGAGAAGGCAGGAAGTTTTAATTCAGGGGTCAGCAAACTATGGTGTGTGGCCCCATGAGCTGAGAATGGTTTTTACATTTTTAAGGGATTATAAAAAAAGAAGCTAATACACCGCAGAGACCATGTAACCTGCAAAGCCTAAGATATCTACTATCAGGCTCTTTGTAGAAAAAAATTGCTGACCTCTGGTTTTATTTGACAACACAGGCCTGCCCAGAGCCCTCCAGGAAGAAGCTGGGTAAATTTGAAGGCCTTCCCTGCCTCTTCAACATGTCATGCCAAGCCCTTCCCTCCCCACCACCCGGACTTTGTCGCCCACCTGTAGGGTGGCTTTGTACACGCAGGGGCACTGCTCGCTGAAGTGCTCCCACATCTGCAACTCGCTCTCCGCTGGGTCAGCCAGAGTGATTCGGTGACACCAGAAAGCCTCCAAAGGCCAGGCCACTTCTGAAAGTGGGCGAATGAGTCACCATCGTACACCTTACATTGGTCAGAACTGGGCCTCCCGAAGCAGCCATTCCAGAGAGCACCCCAGGCAGGGTCTTCAGGAGCAAGACTAGCCCCCATTTCAACAAGTGGATAGTCGTTGCAAAAACCCTCTCTCCAGGACCTTTTTCTCCCTGGCATTGTTTTCTGTTTTTGTTTTTGTAAGCATACATTATTTCACTTTATACCTTAAGAATTTATTTTTCCACCACTGACAATTGAGATCATCTGAAATGGTGATTACCTACTTAAGCCCTGTTGAGTCCCCCTCTTCCCTGCCAGCAAAAGCGTATTCTCATAAAATATATCAAGTTCGATGTTTTGCCAAAGTAAATTTCATGTGGTGGATCAATTTTTGTGTCAAAATAATCCTTTAGATTTGGTGATGACAGGCTTATGTTGGTTTTTTAGGCTCATCTGTGTATAAGAACAGTATGGTTTAAAAAACTTTAATTTTGAAAGCCATAATTTTTCTTAATCAGTTAAAAGGTGGGGGAGGATTACAAATATGAGTGGGTCTTTGGCTTTTGGCAGACTTACCCATTCATTTTCAGAAGCACAGCTCGTACAGCAGCAGCTGAACAGACCAGGGCTCAGGTGCCCATCATCGGAGCAGAATGAAGCGTGCTCGCGCTGACAGGTGTCACTGGGGCCTGGAGAGAAGGACCGGTGTTTCTCCCAAGACCCAGATTGGCTGCATGTAAGCATATGGCAAATTGCTCTTGAAAATATACTGACAGAACAAGCATCCTGCCAGGCTTGGGGGCACCTTGGTAAAGACGGATTCATACCAGAGTCTGAAAAGAAAGTTTGCACCATGAGATATGCCGTACCTTGGCCAATACTTTGCCTGAAGTCCTAGCTGATGGGGAAGATTCTGAACAGGAGTGGCAGGGTGAGCGGCAGGGGTTTATGCTGTGAAAACCATTGATTTTGGTGACGGCCGTTTTCAGGGAATGCCTTTGCTGAATTAACAGAGAATGAAAACTTTTCTAAATCTTGATTGATGCCCTGTGTAGTCAGCTGCATTTCTTCTTTCACTTTGACTTCCACTTTCATTCATGTGCCGTACCAAAAGTTAGGCTAAACTTTTCTAGATCTCCTTGCATTGATACAGGGAGGTCTGTCTGGCAACCAGGCTGTCCTCTGAGCATGATTTGACAATGCCAGCTTTCTCTTAGGGCTGCTTCAGGGTCGTGGAGCAGTGTCCGTCATTGCATGACCTTAAGAACAAGGTGTACTGCTTTTAGCGTTCCTTGCTTCTGTGATCTCAGTGTGGGGACCCAGGCCCACCTTTGGGCTGCTGGGGAGGGGCACCCTGTCCAGGCATTCAGAGTACTCACAGGTGCTCACAGGTGGCTGCACTGTTCAACCTCTTCTCCACCCGACCCTCTCCAGCTAAGAAGCATTCCAGCCCATTCTAAAGCCCCTTGTGGGTAAGTGCAGAGGTGCCACAGGACGGAGACAAAGTTGCAATAGAGTTAACATCTTCAGTAAACCCTGTACTTTGGCACTCTTACCTCCACATGGGCAGGATGCCAGAAGGTTGACGACTCCCCCTCTTCCCTGGGGTCATTTCTTCCTAGTGAGAACAAATGTGGCACCATTTAGTCAAGATCACACACATCACCTCACCCAGGGTGTCTGAAGAGGGACCGCTCTGTTGAGCAGAAGTGCCTGGTGCCAGAATATATTTCACCCAACCCTACTCTGCTCGCCACCTAGCAGGGCTTCCCCAAAACACACATGACGCAGCAAGGGTGACGGCCTCTCTGGCAGGAGAGCTAGATGGCCCAGGAAATTAGCGACATGGGGACAGCACAGTGCAGTACCTGCTCTGGTCTCACCCCTCAGGGTCTTGCAGATGCCACATGCCAAACAAAAGCTGATTGACCCCCCGTGCTCAACTACTTGGTTTTTTTATTGTCTGCTCTGCATTTGAATACCCACGTGTATGAGTCCACTGCGTGTATAGATACAGGCATATTTAAAACTTGAATAAGATCATCTTGTGCATCACTTCTCTCACCCACACACATGCTGCGCCACTGAGCATGAAGCAGGCCACCTTGACCGATTCAGCGGGACACCGCACAGCGCTACCCTCGGCAGATCTGATGTGACTGCCTTGTCCTGTGGTAGGTGCTATGGCCCCAGCTTCAGTCAGTCCCTCAAGCAGGGGTCTTTATAACCAGACCTCCAGTTCCCTGCTGCCCTTACGTTGGCCGTGCTGCGCCAGAAGATGGCTGCTTCCTCCCTCTTTTCCTACACTGTAATTATTGTTTTACAATGGAGTGCCTTAATAATAGTTTACAAATACTGTGTATTTATAAGGGAAACTGTTAAGCTCTCACTTTCTGTGATTGGAAACTTTGCCTTGTCAGTGGTGGTTGGCGTTTGGGCTGGAGCTCGCCCATCCCTTACTCGTACATTTTGACACGTGTGCCCACAACGGCCTGAGGAGCATTGCTAGAAATGGCGCTGGTAGTTCCCGCAGGCAAGGCAGGCATTGACTCACACTTCGTGCCATTGTAGCGAGGAAAGAACGGAACTTGGTTTGGTAGCCAGCTGGGGGATGGCACAGTCCACGGCCCTGTCTGGACTTCAGCCCAGCACACGTACCCCCACCGACCCCCCGTTTCTCCCATCACATAATTGTACTCTTGCAGATTTTATTACCACCTAGGCCACCCTGTTTTCCTCTCTGTTGGTGTAGGTACAAATAACACCCCCCACCTCAAGATCAGGAGCTCCACAAGATAAGTTCTTCAGGTTTCAGAAACTGCCGGTGGGTTCCAGTGTGTTGCATTATGATATTGATGATTTTTAATTATATTGCTTTCCTTGTTTTTTTATATTATGTATTTAAAAGGCAGTATCTTTTATACTGTGAATTTGCAGTAGAAGATGCATAATGCACTTTTTTTTTTTTTACTTATGTTGGTGTGTACTGTATATAGTCTGTGTGCTTCTTGTGATGAAAATAAACTTTTTCTTTATAAATGCTGGTGACCTGTGAATTGTGCAAAGTCAGCTGCCTCCTCAAGCCTTGAAAGGATAGTTGGGCGCATCTTCATCGCCATGATGGCCAGTCTTTACTAAGCACCTGCTGTGTGCTAAGCCCCTGCTAAAAACCTGGACCAAAGAGAACCAAGGGAAGACATGTTCACTTCTCCAAGAATTGTCTTTCTTCCTCCTGATTTATCAGTAAGAAAAAACAGGTCCACTTGTGGGTGGTCATTTGTATACCACAAAAAAACTGTCTTCGCCAGGGTGGGACTTGGACTTTGGGTGGCGTCTCCTCCCACACAAGCATAAAACATAAAGCCAGAGTGGGCTTCAGAGACCCACCGGTGCTCCTCCCACCACCCCTCATGGGAGAGGGGACTGTGGCAGCTGATTATTGCCAGTGGCCAAGGCAGGAATCCCGGGGAGTATCTGTCTCTGGACACAGCAGGGGCTTGTCCTGTACCCATGTCACAGGCCACTGCAGCTCAGGTGGCTCTTCTCCCTCAGTGACTCACAAAACCAGGCAGCTTCCATTTAAAACTCTGCCATCTTAGAGTTCTTAAGCGTCCAGCTGTGCAGTCAGGGGAAAGAGCGTGGGAACTCACATTCACTCAACTGCTTCTGTGTGGATGTGATACCTCACACTATTTACGTTCCAATAGGCGAGACCTAGTCACATGGCCTCACCCTGACTGCCAGGGTGTTGGGAGATGTGAGGTGCACACACTTGGTGAGCACTGGCCATTAGGCACAATACCTTGGCATGACCACTAAATTCCAGAGCCTGCAGAACATGCCAGAAATACTTAATTTAGTTCACCTAGACTTGCTCTGGCTCTCACTTGGACTCACAGGAGACTGACAGATAAGTCAGAATGCAAATGTATTACTCTACAATAAGAAAGCTGTCCAGCAGGCCAGATGACTCACTTGCCAATTAGCACATTGCATCCTTCTAGATAAATCTATGCTTGAAGCCAAGTTGTGGTTAGGAATTGCTTATTGAGTATGAAATCAAAGCAAAAGACTTAGTGGGATGATCTAATGGTAAATGCCACCAGGCTGCAATGCAGCCCTTTCTGGAAGATGCTTTTGAAACGGGACCACTGAGGGTCATGGTTCAGCACAGTCTTCATTGGCAAGGCTGGGGACACCTAGTGTTTTCTTCAGGCTCCAAATGTGAATTCGAGCCTGGGACTGAGGTCCAGCACTCTCTGTGTTCCTGATGGAGTCCCTGGGAATTCTGATGGCCAAATTTAGAAACCATTGAAATAAGATGATGCAATCGAGTAGGCTTCCACTTTGCTAGTTAAATCACATTCCACACTTGCTTTCTGGAGACAACACCCACATCATCTTAACAGAATACAAGTGTTCCCAAAACTTGTCAGATACTCATTTTTACCAAAGACCCTAGGAGAACGCTCCTATGGCTGACTGCTTTTTACCCTAACTTTGTGCTCAGTATAACAGTCCCAAGATTGAGCATGATCCTAGATCACACCTCAGCGGGGCTGGTCTTGCAGGGGAGGACCTCCATGCTTGCTTGTGTTTACGCCTAAGAAAGCCCCTCTTGGCGAGATGTTCGCAAGAGGCTCCAGAAGGCAGAGCTTGGAGGATGACTGGCCATGGTGGAGAAGCCTTCTCTAAAGGAGATGTCCACCAACAGCACACAAAGTGAGCCCTACCCAGAAACCACCACCCACCCACCCACCCATCCTGCACCCTAGCAGGAGGGGACAGATCATGATTCTTCCATGCCTTGTGTGTATCCAGCATTTTACATAAGGAATCCCGTTGAGTCCTCCCGCCTGCCCTGTTAGCATTATCCTCAGTCTACAGATGAAGAAACAGGTCCTTAGAGTATAAGTCATTTGCCCAGGGTTGTAGCTCAAAAGTCATGAAGCCAGGTGGCACAGCTTCTCCACCTGAAACCCTTCCCCACCCCAGAAGCAGAAAAAAGCAAGCTAAAGCTGCATCTTGATCTCCCTTTAGGTATCAGCAAGAAAATACAGGACTCAGAAATGAAGCTTCCAGACCCTGGGAAATCTGACCCACATTGTGCTCCAAAGGCTATTTGGGCAACACAGGTGTGTCTCTCTCCCCCAAACTGTATTGATCTTATTTTGCCTTTAAAAGGAAACTGCTCACACATCCTGAAGTCTGTAAAGGGTCCAGTTTCAGCCTGAAATTCCTTTTTCTTTGTAAACTGTTCCAGCCAAGAAAATGGTGTTGGTGTGAGCAGCCTCCCAGCATTGGAAACGATGCACAGGGTCTGGTGCTGAGAGACACACTCTCCCACAAGTGCCACATTGGAGGTGGCAAGCTCCTTCTGGTTTTGCAGTTGGCTATCCAAATGGGTTAAGGACAATGCCACCTACCTCATGGGGCCAATTTTTGAAGATTAGCGATAATGTGTGAAACCCCCTTCTGCCTGGTGCACTGTATACATGTTGAATCAGTGGTGGCTGTTGTTATTGGTACTGGCAGGAAGGAACCTATACTGAGCATCTACTAATTGCAAGTGTTGCCAAAGTATTATCAAGTTGAACCTCACAACAGATGTGATCGTGCTTTACAAATGAAGAGGTGGAAGCTCAGAGGTTAGGTAAAATGGGTCACGGCCACACCGCCAGGAAGAGACAGAGGTCCAAGGTGCCTGATTCCAAATTCATACACTTTTTAACCCACCATCTTCTCCCAAAAAAAAATAGTCTTTAATGTACATAGTGCAATGCCTAGCATGGAGTAGGTGTTCAATAAATCTTTGATGAGAGTAAATGAGTGAAATATGTTGTCAAAATGAGTCCCAGCTTCATTCACCAAGGCTTGGAAAGCTTGGGGACACCCATGAATGCCGAAACCAAGTTCCTGTGGGGCAGGGCAGTGTCTCAGTCACCTCTGGGACCCCAGCAAGGGCTTGGCACATTGCAGTTAACCTCCGAGCAACACTGCCATTAGCTATAAATCAAAGAATCCTGCATTTTGCAGAGTCCAGAACAATCTAAAAGGTCATCCAAACCAGGGCCCTTTTATAACATCCATCCATTCCAGCTGCTAACAGGTTGGATGGGTAAAATCCAAGGTTTGTGTTTTTTCCTCCTTTTTTATCTATTTTCCAAAATCTCTGCAACAGGATTTTGTTACCTTTGTAATAAAACAAGAAAATGTGAAGAGTTTAATAAAAGGATGTTTTTGTATTGAGCTAAAAATTGCACTCTAAACTAGGCTCATGGCCCTGGGGAATTCAACACAGCATTTTAGAGAGAGGAAGGGTCCTTTCTCCCCTCTGGTGAGGTAGCATGGGCCCCCTAGAACAGACATAGTGCTCTCAGATTGCTGCGGCTCAGAGGTGCCAGGTGGAGGTCTGAAGACCCTGGGCCGTGAGCCTCTCCAGGCTGATCATTCCCACCCCTCTGAGCATACGGCAGGCAGCGGGGCAGCGTCCAGGGCTGGCTTCATGAGGCTCTGCACTTGTAAGGGCACTGAGGTTGGTTTAACACTGAATTCTGTAACAGAGACCAGGCCTTTTCATGTTGCACTGGGCGCTGCAAATTACATAGCTGATTAAGGGCTTTGGAGCAAAACAGCCCTGGGTCCCCAATCCCAGCTCTCTAACTTACCCACTCTGTGACCTGGAGCAAATGACTTAACCTCTCTGTGCCTTAGTTTCCTGCAAAATAGGAATAACCTCAGTGTGGCATTATAAGGATTAGCCTGTGGAATTAGCACAAAGCAAATCTGAATTTTGATATCACTTGTTATATAAAGTGCTTGGACCACAATGAGATATCACCTCACACCAGTAAGGATGGCCACCATCCAAAAGACAAACAAATGCTGGCAAGCATGCAGAGAAAGGGGAACCCTCCTACACTGCTGGTGGGAATGTAAGCTAGTTCAACCATTGTGGAAAGCAGTATGGAGGTGCCTCAAAAAACTAAAAATAGAAATACTATTTGACCTGGGAATCCCACTTCTAGGAATTTACCCAAAGAAAACAAGTTATCAGATTAAAAAAGACATATGAACCCTTATGTTTACTTCAGCACTATTTACAATAGCCAAGATATGGAAGCAACCTAAGTGTCCATCAGTAGATGAATGGATAAAGATGATGTGGTACATACACACAATGGAACATTATTCAGCCATAAGAAAACAAATCCTACCATTTGCAACAACATGGACGGAGCTAGAGGATATGCTCAGTGAAAAAAGTCAGGCAGAGAAAGACAAATACCAAATGATTTCCCTAAGTTGTGGAGTATAACAACAAAGCAAAACTGAAGGAAGAAAATAGCAGCAGACTCAGAGACTCCAAGAAGGGACTAGCGGTTATCAAAGGGAGGGGTGGGGAAGGGCGGGTGGGGAGGGAGGGAGAAGGGGATTGTGGGGTATTATGATTAGTGCACATGGTGTGTGTGTGGGGTCACGGGGAAGACAGTGTAGCACAGAGAGGACAAGTAGGGACTCTGTGGCATCTTACTACACCGATGGACAGTGACTGCAATGGGGCATAGGGGGGAACTCAATAACAAGGATGAATGTAGTAACCACATTGTCTTTCTTGTGAAACCTTCATAGGATTGTATATCAATGATACCTTAATAAAAATAAAGGAAAAAATTAATAAATAAAGTACTTGGTACAAGTCCTGGCACAAAGTAAAGTGAGTAGCCTCTATAAATCTGGGAAAGACATTGGTGGGCCCCTCCCAGACCAGACCCTGCTGACAGGCAGCTCCTCTTCCCCCCCCTGTTCTGAGCCTGGCTCAAGGGCAGAGGGAAGCACAGGCGAGCTCACTGGAGGAGGAGGAGCTTAGCCCGCATGTGCATGCTTCCCCCCCACCCCCAGCCGCTAATCCATCGGGAAAAGGACACTGGCAGTACAAACGCCATTTGTCCCCAACCTGGACCCAAGTGGTTCCTCACAACAAGCGTTTGGGGATGGGACCTGTGTGGGTAGCCTCTGAGCGTGGGCTCGTCCCTGCC